TAAGGTTTTTTGAAACAAAAGGATGGACTATTTTTTAAAATGAAGTCTTTCATGTGGAAAGGCTCTTCATTTCTCAGAATAACTTGGGTTTTCATCAAACAACGGGAAACAGAACATTGCCCAGCAGGTTTTGCTTGAAAGCTGTTCTTCGTAAATACTTCACAAGAATTTATTTTTCCAAAAGGAAAATTTTTCTGCCTAGGGTAGGTGAAATACTGACCAGATGACCCAATTATCCATAGTATAAAACCTGCTAATTCATTTGTGGGGCATTATAAAGCTTCTGAAGTGACCCTGAAAAGTTCAGTGGTGCTTGTAGTGGTGTTCGCAGACATTTTTTGCCCTCTAGCCTTCTTGATGTGCAACCTCCTGCACACACAGCTTAAAAACACCAGTCTAATGCATAGATGCTTGCCTTCCCTTATGCCTGCGCACAGGAAGGTGCATGTGCTGACAGGCATGTCAGCAAGAGAGGGAGTAAGACAGACAACCATCTGTACAGACTGCAGTGGGTTGCTTATTCAGCCTACAGTTTCTGTAAGCAGATCTGGAAGCAGCGGAGGGATGGAAGAGAAAATGCAAAAGGGACAAGGAAAAAAGGAAGCTGAAGAGAAGGGCTATCACTGCTGTGGAGGCAGATCCCTTAAGCACAGGAATATTTACACAAGCATTGTATCTAGAGGGCAGCGAACTGCAAACAGAAGAATCCAGTCACCTGTGTGACACAGGATTAGCCAAGGACTTCAGCTGTTGAAGCCATCAGACACGTGCACTTCTGGGGTGTGCTGGTTCTCTAGAGCAGGCAAGACATCTAACCGCTGTCTCAGCAAAGCCTTGAGTAAATCTGCAGTGTCACAAACCCCCAGACTAGTAATCATAGCTCCATGAGCAGCAGAAGGAACAAAGCCTGGCTGCCAAGAGGCCAGTTTCCTAGATCCCTGTTCTTTCTCACTGAAATGATGCACATACCGCCCCATCTCAGCCCCAGCAATGCTGCCAGACCCTCACATAAACTCCACCACCAGCAGGCACCAAATGCTTCCAAGTCTTTTACAGCCATCTTTGACGTTTTTCCTTCCTCCTCCCGCCCCCGGCATGCTTTACCCCTTCTCAGGTCCCTGAACTGGCAGGGAAAGCCTGTATTTATCAGGCAGCCAGCCAAGCAGAACAGCTAAATTGTGAGCTTGCACCACAGTCCCTCAGACTAAATTTGGCTGAAATACACTGCGAAATTTAAGAATGCCAAGTGGGAAAAGGGGAGAAATGACAGAAAACATGACCATACAAACCTCACCTCAACAAGCAACAAGGTGAAGATAAGCACCACCAGATCATCTGACTAGTGGAAATACTCCTGGGCGACAGGAGGACTCTGTAAGGAGCTCTTGCATTAATCATCTTAGTCACCATCACAGGTTGCGTTTCTTTTCCCTTCATTCTCCCAGTAAGTTTCAGTTCCAGCTTTGCCACTCAGTCACTGCATTACTGTGCTATTTGCTTCACAGCCTGGATTTTCCCTTTTAAAATACACAGGCCACTACACTCCCAAAAAGTAATGACATTTCAGAGGACGCATTTATGAAAGGTTTAGCAGCTGAATTACGTCAAAACCTAAACCCTTGTGACTTAACGTTTTAATGCTCTGTAAGTACCACAAAGGGAGCCCTAGAGTCCGTGCTTGGATGGTTAAAAGAAAAGCTCAGGAAGAATACGTTGTTTCAGGGAAGATACAGTCAGCAAGCTTTCTTTAAACTGGTAAGGTTTTAAGCAGATCAGGCACAAACAAATATTTTCTCCTGTGTCTACGTTTGCTTCACAGTGGCTAATCAACATCAGTCCCAAAGAGTAGGTTTACCCAACACCCCCGCCTGGTACTGTAGTGATAAACTCCTTGTGAGATTACTCCGAAAAGCCAGACTGGGTAGTGCTCCTGTCAGAGCTGCGGACTCTGCTAAAAACAACTGCCTTTGATTTTCACTAGTAGCTGCTTTAATGATAAAGCTGAACTGTAATAAGGGCCTGACCTCCTGACTTAGCTATAACAGTTGAAAATATTTACCTTACATGGGCAAAAAGCCTACAGGGCAGAAGAAAAAAAAAAAAAGAAAAGAAAAAAAAAAAAGAGGAAGACATATACATAATATAGCTGTGACATAACCACAAGAGTGACAGCAGAAGTGAGCATTTAAACCCCACTGTTTTCATGTCAGATTCTTTAGCAATATCCCAGATTCTATCTTAGGAAAACTCTGAAGAAACAAACTGGGACACAAGATCAGACTGATTGTTTTAATTTTTGTTATAGGCTAGTAGCCAAAAACATGTCAGGAGAGGGAAAATAATTTTAACTGTTAGTAACTTTTAACTCAGCAGAAATAAAAGTCTCAGCTTCTCTTAAAAATTAAAGTGAACACACGTCTCAAATCACATAATTAGACATGGTTTCATACTGTGGGATTCAGCAGTCTGCTGCATATCTTTTTAAGAAAAAAGGCTTCTAAGAGTGAGCAGATGCAGCAGTCTGAAAGTGTCTTGGAATATTCAAGACATACAAATTGTCTCTTTTTGTCTCAGAAAGGATTTGGATTTGCTTTTCCCATTGAAAGTCATCTCCATTAAAAAAAAAGCAGAATCATGAGAAAGGTAGCATGAAATACATCAACTCCACTAGAGGAATAATGTGCATGACTGCACGTGTTTTATTCTGTAAAACAAAACCAAAATTCTACAGAAAATTATATTGCTAGAAATTCCTTGCACTTGAACTACTTAAGTTTTGCATCCAAAGCACGAGGGCTGTGTTTGACATTGTAAAGGTACTGCTTATGCTGGCTGACTGTGGCATCTCTAAGCAAGTCTACCTCAAGTAGAGTTATTTAGTTGCTATTTATTGTATTTCACTGTTTTATTACAGTCCACAATGCTTCACCCTACAGACAGGAAGCCACAATATTTCAGCTAAACTTACATAGCTGGTCATCTTCATTTCCTTCTTGAATTTGGAAAGTGGGCAAAGCAGTAGAAACCGGTAAGAAACCCTCATGCCCACAGGTACCAGAGGAAGTTGTGGTGCACTAACTGCTCCAGGCCATAAATTACCCAAGACTCCTTGACAAGTAGAAGTTCAGCCACGTCAAAGTGATTCTAAGAGGTAAGAACCATCATTAAGTTCACATGCTCAATGTTCCTTCATATGAACAAGCCTTTTGAGTCATCATCATCTCTTGTGTGTGGCAGATATGTGCTCTCAAATGAAGAGGTGCCAAGGAGCTTCTGACACCTGTCAGGTAGTACAGAATAGATTAATTAAAAAAAAAAATTATCAAGAAAAAAAAACACTTAAGAGAGATATTCCACAAACAACAGAAAAAGTTCTTTCTGTAGTGTTTCACAGCACAAAATCCAAGAGTAAGAATAACCACCCAAGCTGCACGTGCATCAGTTCTTTGGTTTGGCACCACCACTTGGGGCACAGCACTCCATTCGCGGGGCAAAAGCCAGGCCTGATAAGACATGCTGCATTCAGCTCAGTGCTGCCAGCTTCATTAAGGTGGTACCAGTTAGCCACTGGTAAGCTGTTACTCAGTTATGTAACACGTTACATGTTAAAGATTTAGGAGTAAAATCTTTGCAAACACATAAAAGGAAATGTCTCCATTGCAATTGTAAGCACAGTGACATTTTACTATGTGCCAGGCATCACATACGTTTGCTTCGGTAGCTTGTTACGCTACCTCTGTGAGAGGAAAATCTTCCACTTAGTATCTTCTCAATAACTTTGCTGTCTTCGTAGACATGGGATGACAGTAGCCAGAGGCACATCTGAAATACTTGGATTTTAACACACACTGAACTGCTAGGAAACTTTTAATTGGAAGGATCACAGGAGACAGGCTTCTGAGCGTATCTGCAGCTAAATGTCGCCTTTTCAGCAATGCTGCTTTCCAGCGATACATGCATCTACCTTGCAGCAGGCCCACCTGCCTCCTAAAGGTAAAGCTTATATCCTCCAGAGCTGTACAGCAGAAATGCTGTCCTGCAATCCATAGCTGTGAGGAGGTACAAGACCAGTCTGTACTCTCCACTTCTGTAGCCACGCACTGATCAGAGGTAGAAACCAGAAGCTGATACAAAGTGAGGCGCTTGTGAAATTTCACCAAACAAAAATGAGACATTCTGAAATTTGGTTGGCTGCTTTTTTTTAGTCTGAAATTGAAAAATGTATATAAACCCAAAGATGCTCAGCATCTTCAAATCAATTTGAATAGCAAATTGAATTTAGTCTCTCGCATCGCAGATTAGCATCCCAAATTGTGGTGCGAATGGATGGATGGGTGCTCCTTGCTCCCTCCTATATAGTAACAATATTGACCAGGGAAGCTTTCTCAGTGTCAAATCCAGTACATTCACTGGAACACATTTAGCTCTGATAAACTAATATTTTCCAACAACAAACAAAATTTTGTTACTAAACTTACAGGCATATCTAGCAATGCAATAAAAACAACTTGAAATCAGACCTTCTACTCACATCCTTACTGTCTCACTGTTTTCCATTAATTATGCCTCTTTTCTATTTCATTAGCGAGACGAGGGAAATCCATATTGTACCGTTATTTCTACTCTGAAGTCTTCAACGTGTTTAAACATAAATCACTGGAGCTTCTAGCTCTTGCTACTACTCCCAGTTAAGCAAAAGAAGAGTAAAAACCAGTCTCAGGACTTTGTGATAATTATTCCCTATAAACCCTGTTAATTCTTAGTCTGTCTCACAAAAGTCATCAAGCAATTTACTGTCCCTATGAAAGTACCAGGGGAAAAAAAAAAGAAAAAAAAAAAAAAAGATGAAGCAAATATTTTTAGAATTTTATTAGTGTTACCAAAACCTGCAAATTAAAGGGTGGTCAGTTGTTTGGAGAGGATTCAGACACCCATTTACATGCCAGCTGAGAATATTTAACAAACTGTGTACAAGTGTATCAGCCCTCAGCTGCTGAACACTAATCAATATAATCCAAATCTTCTGGGATTCCAAAACTCTTGTCAATTCTGCTCTCTTCAAATCCAAATTTACGTTTGGCCCAGGACTTTATTGAAAAGATGTTATCTGTAAACAGAATGAAAAACATTCAGTTTTTAATGTTTAGGAAAGCATTAATTATAGTCTTGGCTACCACAAAATCCTTCAGTTTGTGTTCTCTGTGTATATGAAAAAGTGAGGAACATCATTACTAAGTAGATTTAGAACAGAAAACAGGAGGCTTTTGCTAGTGACATGCTTTTACTTGGTACTAAGTAAAATGTGTCTTACTTTTTAGAGGTTACCTTTATCTTTTCTTGCTCCTCTTCTATAAGAAGACTGAAAGCTACAATTACAGCGTAAGCCTGCTATAGAGTGATGAGGTAAGTGTGAATATGCATAACAAGTATTTTACAGGTCCTTTTTCAACTAGACCTCTACTGCATGACTGTCTACAACTGCAAAAATCAGATTTAAATGAACTATAAGGTCCTTTCTAGTCCTGCATGCATTTGTTCCAATAACATACATTTTGTTTGAACGTTAAAAATATGCTACAGCACATAACCTAATTGTCTAATTAAACAGGAAAGTACTTTCTACAGGCTGCAGCATAGTTCCTTTACCTCTCTCAAGACCTTGACAATGACAGCCTGTCATCAACAGTAGAAAGCCCTGACAACAGCACTCCCAGTTTTCAAATACATAACTTTTTTCCCCATATGCCATGAATCCAGTGCAAATGAAGATATAAAATAACAATAGTCAAAAGACTACGACATAACCCATGATAGTGAGCAGTCTATCAGTAGTAGATGAATTCTAAACAAAAAAGTTACAAACAATATTCTAAATAATTTTTAAAAAGTAAGGACATACATATTGCTTGCTCTGCAAAATGGAAATATATAGCAATATAGCAAGGCTAAGCAACAACAGAAAATTAAATTAAACTTCCACACACGTGTTATCACAATAACCTTCCTCAAAACTGTGCACCATTCTTCCTGCATGTCAAAGCTGATGAATTAGTTTTAGAATTACCTACTTTATATTAGCATCCATCATATAGTAGCAGCAATAAGGCTCCACAAAGCATTCTACTCTTTAGAAACAGATGAAAATTCAGAAAAGAAGAATTAAACTTTCTGAATACCTGGATGCCACCATTTCTGGTCTCTTTCTACTAATGTTTTCCTCATCTTAAGGAATTTTAACTCAACCAAGAAAATGAGCTGCAGGTTTTAACATAGTATGTAAGATAGCACCAGAAGAACAAATACGTTATGTGAGGTGAAGTACGTTCAGTAACTAAACTGAGAAAAGGTCTTCCTTTTTTTGAATCATCATAATTTATAAGCAAAATATATTTCTGCATGTTTTTACATTAAATCTTAATAAAATTTAAAATTCTTAACAACGCGTAGGTCTTTTACTGAAATTGCTCTAGTGTGAAGCTGTATTAAGCAACAGAAATGCATACACACCAGTCCACCTATTGGCTGCCTCCTTGGCTATTTTGTTTGTTTGGCCTGAAATAGAGAAGAAAAACAAACAAACATCAGAGTAGAATCATAAAACAGTTTCAAGGCACAGAGATTAAATTTTTATTGATGTCATTTTTAGAGATTAAATTTTTATTGATGTCATTTTTAGAGAGCCATATAATATAAGGAAGGTATTCTACTGCTTCCAAACTCTTCTTCTATTTCACACTTTTAAGGTTCCATCAAGCACAAAGCTAAGTTAAAGAAAAACAGGAACAAAGGAATATAAAAGATACCATATGAACAACCATGAGTTTTGGAGTGTATTTTAAAATAAAATAATCCTAGTTGGGTTTGCCTGGGGGCTTAATTATCTGTACTGAGACTGGAACTAGATACATAGCCTGAAGATACTAGAGGCAACCGAGATGGAAAATGTTTTATAATCCTGTCTATACATAAGTAATCCATCACAGAGGTATGCATAACTCTATATAGATAAGGAAAATGACAAGGGTAGCAGTTTATCCCATTAATCCAAAAGTTTATCATATAGCTCTGGAAGGTCTCCCAAGTTTTAAGAACCCCCTCAATGAAATGAAGACAAAATAATGCTCCTGGTTATTAAACTTGATTTCCCTCCCTTACCACCACTCCAGATCTAAATACATAATAGTAAATTACCATTACTACAAATAGCTCTTACATAGTTTCCATGAGGCAAAACAGTATCAAGAAAAATTCCTCTTAGATCACCATGCTCCCATTAAATAAGTACTGAATCAAATCAAGTGGGTTGGGTTGTAACGTGGGAATTTATCAGAATCATTATGGTTCTCACGCCTACACACAACTTAGTTATTCCCAGTCAGTCTTGTTAGTACTTGCATGATAATACTCATTTGAATGGTCAGCATGAAATTTGTCTCCAGGGGTACCGAGAAGTGAATATATGATCAGGTATCCATTGTTATAAAGATTGTACTTCAGGCAAAATTAAATTATGTTGAGAAATCATCTGCTGGTACACAGGAAGCTAAGCACTCATTATTCTACCATTAATACTTCAGTAAGTGATCTGAAAAATGTTTTAACCAGAGTAAAACACTGCTTCAAAACCAGTGCAGTTTCTAGAAGTGGCCTACAATTAGAAAGCTTGGGCATAGCATGAAGAAAAGTAAAAAAGAAAGATGGGGGGAAAAAAGGGGAGTGGGTGAGAAAATGGCATTTTTGCTTGTTTGCATGCACCAGAAATTCAAGTTATTCCTAGCTAGAGAGAGATACTCGTTTCCTTTGCTGACTGCTTGTTGCCACCCCTACTTGTTCAGTTCCATGACTGGCAGCACTGACAACATACATGGCAGCCAACGGCACTGTGAACAGTGCTTTATCCAACACTACATAAAGCAAGCCTGCAGAGTACAGGCTTTCACTGGTCAAGATTTTAAATGTGTGAGCTATGATACTTCCCTCAGCATTCTTCTGAAACTCTAGAGTAAAACTGGAAAGCTGTACTTGGTCCAAGTAATGAAGTTTAAAATGAAGCGGGGGGAAGTAGGATGATATTAAACTGCACGGATCCAGAGGTGCAGGGTGACAGCATCCTGATAGCAGATGAGCCAACCTGGTCCGCAGCACCTGCTAGGTCTCAGCGGAAAGCTCTGCTGCTGAGCCCTGCACTTCTGCATCACATAGCAGCTCTAAGTTCCTGCAGCTTTCAGCACACAGCCCTGTGATTAAAGCCCTGCGACCACACGCTACAGTGCATTAAAAAACCTCAATAGTGGCAGCATGGTGTGCTGTCACCCTTCAGACATTGCTTATATGTGTGGAAGTATACATATGTGATCATGTGTTTTTAAAACATGGCTTCTTACCTCTGTCAAAGAAAAGGCTGAGGTGACCAATAGAAACAGGTTGGGCAACAAGGGTGGTTAGAATGGTGGTGGCTGCCTATAACCGAGTTGTGGCTAGAAATGAAATCATGGTAGCAAGAGCAGGAGGCTATAATGGGGAAATGCCACAGTGGTCAGCACCTTCAATGACTTAAATAACAGAGAAATAACAAAAATAAACACGCAAACAAAGGAAACTCCTGAGAGTAAAAGTTTGAAATATTTTAACCATTTCATTCTTTCCATGAACCACCCGGGACTGATCACAGACTGGCAGTAAAGTGTCATGGTAGAAGTGTGGAATGATCACATGCGGAGGCAGAACTTCAGGATGGGGAAGGTGACATTCGAAAAGTCAGGCTGAATAGCAAAGAGGAGGCTGCCTCGGTCCTTCAGAGACTGGGAACACACACCACCCACATTACTGTGCTGCCAGGGGGCTCAGAGTCAGGGAAACAAGAGCCACTTGTAAAGCCTCAGGCACATGACACCTCCAGGAAACACATTCACGAGAGGCGGGGGCAAGTGTTTGCCGCTTGCCATTTCCCACTTACACCCATGTGTACAACAGCACCACAGGGATGCAGGTGCGGATCTATTCTGCCATGTTGAAAGCTGCTTAGACAACCAGGCATGCTGTATCAACAACAATGCCAGCTAGCTTGGCGAGTTGCAAGACACCCGCATGTTCCTCACGCCCAGCCTAAGCTAGGTCATGCACACAAGGCAGTTTGCACTGTCTCTTGTCATCAAGTGAGACTGTCACTGCCACTGCTGCAGGATGGCACTGCAGTCTGCTTAACCACTGACGCGATTGTCCTTATCACAGGAACAATCCCTTGTATCCCCTTAGAGGAAAGCAAAGGCAGGGAAAGGAAGGTCCAGCAGCAATGAATGTCTAAAAAGAAAGGGAGGGAGGGTTGGAAACATACTTTTTAGTGCAGGCAAGGGACATCTACCAGCAACCCACAGGGATTCAGGAGCAGACCAGGAAACAGAGCTGACAAAAGGGCATGTGGACAGCTGTAAGAGGTGCAGTAAGAAGCCTTCTAAAGCAAATGGACAGCACCTGGTTAGGAGTGAAAGCCAGCAGTACAAAAGATCAACACAGCAATGTTTCTTGCCTCAAATCTTAGCACAGTAAGGCCACATTGCTTCAGATCTGACTCAGGAGGCCCTACAGTCATTCTCAGCATACTAAAGAACCTCACCCTCTTCTTTCCTCCTCCACCCAGATTCATTCACTTTTTTTCCTGGAAGGCAGGTGGTGGGAATTAAAAGTCCTATCTGCATTCCAAAACGGAATGGCCAAAAACTGTTGAAGCCTCAAATATTTCCACAGGATGGGAAGATCACTACATACCTCATCAAAACAAGATACACTCCAGGAGACTAAGTTAGTCCTTTCTATCAGACTTCGGACGCACTTCCATGGGTGAAAAACAACTGCAACAGCAACAACCACCAACACCTCCTCACAAACGTTTTCCAAACCTACTTTCAGGTTCTTTCTGAAAGCTTTTTTAAGTCCTGCACATATCATTAAGGGAATACTAAGGAAGCAGTCACTGAACAGTATTCCGAATTGGACTATAAAGGTAACATATTCCAGTTCCAATAGCTATACTAAAAAAATCTGAACAGCAAGAACCAGTTCACAACCACCTATAGACTTGGAAATGAAGAAAGAGCTGTAGCTTTCTTTCCTCTCCCAACTTTTACTCTGGCATCTTCAGGATAACTCTAAGGATTACTGTAAGTAACATTTTTATGTGTAAATAAAATTTTCAGGTCCAAGAACCTCTAGTCTACAGAGTAACAAAAGCTCATTATATTTATAAAACTAGCATAGTTTGGTGCCAGTTTTGACCTACAACAACTAAAGCGACAAGAATATTGTATGGATTTCCTCGCTTAAAAAGCACATGACTGCACAGGGAACTAGAACCTTTTCAAGGAGACAGTCACCAATCAGCCTGTGGGATTGTCAGCAGATACATGTGAAATACAACTGCAGTCTCTGGCATGTTGGCAAGGGAGTAATTTTACAGCGTCAATCACAATTCTTCTGCACAAAATGCAGAGAACAGCTGCAACTGTTCTCAGGGGTCAGTAAGGATTATTAGCCCAAAGATCCCAAATCTCTCTCGTGAAACGGGTCAGGATAAATTAATTGCATTAGGTAGATTTGAATTCCAGTAATAACTCTGCATCCATTTAGATTGAATTTAATTATGAAAAATGACAGCTACCATAAGAACAGTATGTGAACTTGACTCTCCAATGACTCTGATTATCCATTACCTTCTGCAGAGTTATCCATTCTCCTGCTCACAGGCTGCCCTCACTTTCCACAAACACTTTACCTTGCCTTCATCACACCGTGGCAGATTTGTGTTTCCCTACCTCTCTTGGAGAATCATCATAACATGCCATGATGCACAGTTTCCAAAAATCTTTCCCAATAATGAAAACATCACCTGCAAATAAAGAGCCTGCCTCTAAAGGCCAGGGTAGAAGGTGAACATATAAATTATACACCCCTCACCCACAGAGAGTACAAAAGGTAATTGTCTAGTAATTCCTACTGACATGTCCATCCATAAACTGACACCAGAGACTCTGATCAAGAGACCATAGCCTGCCATTGGAGACTATTCATGGCAATGATGTCATTGTGTGGCTCCTTTCAAGTCTGTATTTGAGTACCTTGAGACTGTCCACAACCCTGTCAACAGAGTAACTCAAAAAACATAGCAAGAACAGCTTTAGAACAATGTTTTGTAACCAAATGTTAGGCACAGATACCTCCACACTATATGCAATCTTTACCTTCCCCTGTGCTTCCCAAAGAGGTGTTTCCTCTTAGAAGCAGAATAAAGAGTTCTTTTGTAGAAGAGTGATAGCACATCAGAATCCTGTCAACTCCTTTAAATCCAAAATAACACATCATTCTTCCCCCATACTCCAGTATCCCACATAACACTTATCGCCATGATATTAATCAACAGGTCACAATGCTTCAGAATTCATGACTAAATTCAAGTCAATGCATAAATATGATTTGTTATTTAAATGACATCACAAATTCAGCAGAACTATTTATACTGACATACTACTGAATAATCAAAAGAAGTATCTCATTTTACA